GGGGGTTGGGGGCGTCGGAGGATTATGGGGTCCGAGGTGTAGCAGGGCGCTCCGTCCCGCACCCTCCTCTCTGTCCCCACCCGGGCGGCCGGATCCCGCCAGTAGGCGGGGCCTCGGGGCAGAAATGTTTCTTTGACTCCACTTGGGACAAACTCAAGTAGGTTTGCGCGGGGGAAACCGAAGGAAGAGAAAAATTGGAGTCTTCTGAAAAGCAAGTTCTGGAGTCTCTTTCCAGATTAATCCACTGGCACCAGCGCTGAGCCCGCAAGGACCTGCTGTTTGGTTTCGGGCTTTCTCTGCAAACCCCACCCCGCCCCGGGACCGGGCCTCCGTAGCCAGGAGAGGCTCCAGGGTAGCAGCAACAGTGATTCGCATTCATCCCGGCCCGCTGGGCTTGTGGGTGCCGCCCCTTTGTAAACTCCTATTGCTGGGATGAATGGTGCCCCAAAGGGAAGAGAAAGCGGGCTCGATTTACTGAGCACCTATTATTTGCTTAATGATAAGATTTCATTTAATCATCACATTTTTTTTTTCTGTATCCTTATTTTATAGATTGACAAAAGCAGGGTACGGGAGGTTGTATTCTTGGTCTGAGGAAGGGCTTCTGGTAAGTGTCCAAACTGTACCACTTTTTTCCCCCCAGGGATGGAACTCTGGTCCTTGCACTTGGGAGGCAGGTGATAGCACCACTGAGCTAAATCCCCAGCCCAAACTGTACCACTCTAAGCTTCCCACTCTGGGGTCCTGTGCAGCCTGTGCTTTCAGTGAGGACAGGGATGAGTTCTGAGCCAGCCTGTTCTGTCAGTGGCAGTGGGGACCTTGGCTGCCAGTGGTTTCGAGAACATGTGACTTCCCATGGTGCTCTGGTGAGACCAAGTGCATGGCTTGGTTTAGTTCCAATGAGAAACATCTCCCCAAGACTCTGCTTGAGTCTGTTTAAGCAGCGAGGTGACACCGTTTGGTCTGCAGGATGACTAACCAGGAAAGCTCTTCCAGATTTTCTCTCCTGCACCCAGGACCGTCCCTGGCTGGGGACTTTGACCCTGAACACTGAGATGAGAATGCTTTTTATTTTTTTGAAACCAGGTCTTACTATGTAGTTCAGGCTGGCCTTGAATACTCTATATAGCCCAGAATGGCCTTGAGTTTGCAGTGACCCTCCTGCCTCCAAGTGCTGGGATTCTAGGCGTGTGACAACAAGCCCAGCTAAACCAGCTGCTGACCAGCACTTTTCCAGCACAGGCCTGCCAGGTTCCTGGGCAGCAAGTCCCACACTTTGGGGCCTTACCTGGACCCTCGCTTTTCTTTCCCCATGGATCCAGGAGGGAACTGGAGCCTCTCTTGCTTCTTGTGTGTCCTCGGGGCCTCCGGACTATGGTGTAGGGGGTGGTTGCCCTGGGCCCTGCCTGAGTCACTGTCATTGCTGTCTCACAGACTCCCCCCCCACTGTGACAGCAGCAGCAGACCAAGGGGCGGCCTTTGAGTGGTTTTGGGCTTGCGTGAGACCTCCTCCACCACACCCTTGGAACTGGCTTGATTTGTATGTTTGTCTCTTTATTTCTGAAACTGGGAACTGGCCATTGAACCCATGGAATGCTGAGCTACATCCCAGCCCTTTATACCTTTATTCATTTTTTATTTGTTTTTTATTTTTACTTTTTTATTAGTTTATGTTTGCAGCAGGGGATAATCACATTTATCATGGGGGTTACATCTTTTTTTCTGATAAAGCAAAAATAGACATTAATTTTTTACTAAATAATTTGCTCATCTTGTTCTTTCAGATTTCCACTATCCTTTTTTAACAGCGTTCAGGAACACACGCTTGAACATATTTATATATATTACATACTTAAAGCACAGGGTTTGATAAGCTTTAAGAGGTGTAAATATTCATGAAACCATCACCATAATTAAGATAATGAACATATATCTAACACTGCAAAAGTTTCCTTTTTTTTCTTGTAGTTCTATCATTTTCTTTTATGTAATTTGAAATTCTGTTAAGCACATTAGGAACTTTTAGGGTTGCTGTGTTTTAATTCTTATTAGCTGTTGTTTTTTGGAGTGATGGAATCTCAGTATTGTTTTAATTCACATTTCTCAAGTGGCCAGAGATGTTAAACATTTTTTCATGTATGAATTGGCCATCTGTACTTCTTTTTTCTGAGAAGCGTCTATTTATTTCAGTTGCCTATTTTTAAAAAATTGTGTTTGTTGAGACAGGGACTCTATTAGTTCAGCTAACTTTGAACTCGTTATGTAGCACTGGCTGGCGTCAAACTCGGGGTGGGGGAATCCTCCTGCCTCAGCCTATGATTACAGGCATGCACCACCACGCCGGCCCTGCTATTTTAGTTGTTTTTTGTATTCTCCTACTCCAGTTCCTGAGTAGCTGGGAGTAGCCGGACTAAATCAGGCCCTGTGCACCTATCTCACAACTGAGTTTGAAGGGAGGGGAAGTTGCATTCCGGGCAAGGGGAAAGACTAGTTAGGGGGAGGAGGGAGGAAAAAGTGATTGGTAGCCTGACCCCATCCAGGAAATGTGACTAACCGGACAGCACGGGATCGCCGGCTGCCGGGACCCTGCCTTGGCCAGTGAGTGGGGAACAGGGCTTTCCTGGAGGGTCCCAGACTCGGAGGTGCCCCAGCGCCTGCCTCTGCCGAGGCCACGGTGACAAGGGTGGGACCTGCGGCTTCCCTGTGAGCCCGGGGCAAGCTGGGCTGGCAGCACCCGCTGCTGCCGCGGCACCGCCCTGCCCGGGTGGGGCAGGGAAGGAAGGGAGAGTGGGCGGGGCCAGCTAGAAAGAAGAAGAGCCTGAGAAGCGCGGGAGGAAGAAGTTGACGGGGTGAGAGGGGAGCTGGCCCCTGGGAGGGGGCTGGCGGGGACCCTCTGGCGTGGCTGCCCCGGTCTGGAAACTAGAGCCAGGATTCGCATCCCTGTGGCTTAGGCAGGCTCCAGATGCCTCGCGTGACTGCAGCCTCGTGGCTGCCTGGGGCTGGGTGGGTCGAGTAGGATGGCCCTGAGACTCACATGAGGGGCCGAGGCTGGGCTTCTGGCTCTGGCCTAGGGGCAGAGGTGCCAGACTTGCAAGTGGGACTTCTGAAGGCCTTCAGCCTGCCTGGAGGTGAACTCAGACTTGGGGGCACCTGTGGGGAGACCGGGCTGGAGGGATTAGGGAGGGGCGAGGCAGGTCTGGCCATGTGAATTGTTGGTGGTTTTTTGGGGTCTATTTCTTTTTGTTTGTTTCTGTACGGCAGATCAAACTCAGGACCTTGTACTTCTGAGGCTGGTTTAGTGCCACTGAACTGAATCTCCAGCCCTGTTTTTGGTTTTTTGAGACAGGGTCTCTATGCAGTTCAGGCTGGCCCTAAACTCCCAGCGTTCCTCCTGCCTTGGCCTCCCTCCTGCCTTGGCCTCCCTGGTGCAGGGATTACAGGAGGTGTGGTTCCAGACTTTGCTCAGTTCAGCCATAAATTCAAAGGCAGGAGGTGCCTTCACAATCCCAGCTGAGGGGCTGCATGAGTAGAGGTTGAGGCCCTTTTGGTGTCAGGCCTGAATCCCCAAAGTGTCCCAGGCTGGAGAGTCTGCTTGGTTTCTGTGCCACTTCACTTCTGTGCAGTGACAGATGGGGACCTGAGGTGAAGGGATCTACCTGTTGGGGATGGACAGAAGGGTGATGGTACAGCTGGGACCGGCAGGATTGGGTCACTGTCGGGCATCTTCTTAAAGATGTGCCCTACAGCGACCCCGCTCCTGGTGTCCCAGTCTGGTGTCAAAGACGGCTAAGTCACTGCCATGGGCAGCCAGCAGCCCACTCCTCACAACAGCCTGATGAGACCCCTCACCCTGCTCTCAGCCCACCCAAAGCACCTGCTGCAACCCTGGTTGGTGGGTCCCTGTGGTCTCCTCACCCTCCCCACAGGCCCAGTTAGGGAATGTGTTCTCTGAGCGCCTGCACGGTAGCAGGCACTGAGAGGCTGCAACTGGACCCAGAGAGGCCGATCCAGTTGGTTCCTGCTCTAAAAGCTCCATAGCAGAAGAGAGATGGGCAGGTCTGTGATTCGGGCACTGTGGCAGAGTGGGCACAAGCAGTCTTCCTCAGCAGGGCAGGAGCCAGAGGGGGCGGGGCTGGGATGCTGCTCAAGGAGAGAGCTTGCCCAGCAGGTACAGTACAGGGTCCTGGGTTCAGTCCCCGCTGCAGGAGGGATGGAGCAGAGGCAGGCGGTGTAAAGTGGAGAGCTCCCCAACATCAGAAGCACGCAAGAAGAGGATACTGAGAGGAGCTGTAGAAGAGATTTCCACACTGTGCGTTCGTGTGGGTGTTCTGTGCTGGAAGGCAGTGTGGAGCGGAACTAGATAAACACTAAGCTGACCTCAGAGGCTGTGACTTCCCCCACCTAGGGGAAGTTTGTCTGTGGCTTCATGGTGACAGCACCCCACTTTGTTGCACCCCCCCATTAAACCACGATACGTGGGCTGTTCTTCCCCATCTCAAGACCTTCTAGGGCTGAGCCCCCAGCCCAGACGGGACGGAAGGACCAAACTGTCTCAAGCTGCTCGAGGGATGTGCAGGGGGACTAGGTGCCCTTGCCCTGGTGAGACACTGGGAGCTTGATTTAGCCTGCAGGGATGGAGACCCATGGCTGTGAGGCTGGAGGTGGGCACTGAGGAAGCCAAGAGAGAAGCCCACTGATCGGTCAGAGGGACCATCTCCAGGGGAGCCGGGGACAGGGCTTGAGGGACAGAGGGTGCTCTGCCTGACCTGATGGTTTCCAAATACCCAGGCCCAGCCTCCACCCTGGGGTCTGAGCTTAGCTAGCTGAGCATGGGGCCTAGGCATCAGGAGTTTTAAGAGCCCCTGGTGATTCCAGGGCACCAAGTGGGAGACCTTGTACTGCACAGAGTCCACCTGCAGAATCAGCATCACTTCCAACATTCATAAAATGGATGACCTGGGTGTGGTAGAGCACACCTGTGATCCCAGAACTCTGGAGGCCGAGGCAGGAGGATTGCTGCAAGTTCGAAGCCAGCCTGATCTATGAACTGAGATTCTGTCTCAAAAAGAAAACAAAATATATGGATGCTCAGCCCCACTGCTGACCTCTGGAATCAAAATCTCCAGGCCTCGGGTGTGGGCAACTGTAAGGAAAAATTTACTGGGTACATGTTACAGCAAGATGAGGGGCACTATATCAGGACCATCACCATAAGTATATGGACCACAGCAACAGGGAGGGATTGAGCCCAAATGCAAGTATGGCTCAGGCCAGTGGGGATTTAAAGTCCAAAAGCATGATGAGGGTTGGGGAAGGAAAAGCACTGAAAGGAAACATAGGTAGAAAGAAGGTTATGATGGGATTCTCTTTTGGAGGGTGGAGTTGAGACAGAGTCTGCCATGTAATTCAGTCTTGAACTTCATAACCCTTGCTGGCCTCAGAATCGTGCTCCTCCTGCCTCAGCCTCCAGAGTGCTGGGATCACAGACATGCACCATCAAACCCGGCTAGCTTGTACATTTGATATAGTCTGAGGTAATGGTAACAGGCAGCCAGGGTAAAGGAAGGGGCAGGCAGCGGGGGAATCCTTCGTGTGGACCCTGAGTGACTGGGGGAAGGGGTGTTACAGCGTCCATATGGGAGCTACCTGATTTTGAGTTATAGCCAGAGTTCTCATTTCAGTGAAGCTGAGATTCCTTGCTCCATTTTCTCTCCGGGCTGTGCCCAATGGCTTGGGTTGGAGCAACTGGCCCACCGCAGCAGACTTGAGTTATAGGCTGGGATGTGGGCACAGCATGTGACCCTGAGGGACAGAAAGTGTCGGTTCCCTCCCTTGCTCCCCCTGCCTCCCTGCCTCGGAAGCGCAATGCCAAGACCGCCTTCCTAGCTCATGCCTTTGCACTGCTCCTGCCTCTGCTCTGTTTCCTACTCGGGCTTTACTATTTCTTTTTATTTTATTTGCAATGCTGGGTCAGACTTACCATAGCAGGGTCTCAAAGCCAGTCTGCTCTCAGAGCTACTCTCAGGAGAGCACAAACAAAACTAAGAAGCCTGGAAAAAAAAAAAGCCATCCTTCAAAGCTCACTCTTCTCCCCTCCAGCAGTCCCTACCTGCAAGAATCTCCTCATGATGCCTCTTTGCAATCTCCCCCTCAGTTTCCCAGGCCCTAACCTTGTGCCATAGCTGGGTGGACCCAGTGTGCCTGCTGGTGTGAGCTCTGCATTTTAAGTCCCTCCAGAGAAACTGGGCTGGGATGAGAACATATCCAAGGTTGTGGGTGAAGCTGTACTGACTGCATTTTCGGAATTTATTTTTTTCTTCTTTCTTTTTGTTTTTTGTATTTTTGGTATTGGGGATTGAACTCGGGACCTTGTGCTTGTGAGGCAGGCAGCAGAACCGCTGAGCTAAATTGCCCGCCCTCTTCTTTCTTTTTTGCTATATCACTAAGGTTGACCTTGAATCTGCTATGTAGACCAGTCTGGCTTCAACCTCACAATCTGCAGGCCTCAGCCTCTGGAATACCTGATTTATAAGCCACTGCACCTGGCCATATCCTGACTTTTTAAGAAGTTAATGCATTTTGTTGTTTAAGTGTTTGTTGTCTTGGTTACTTTCTTGTTTGCTACGACAAAATATGCGGACATCCACAAGTCAGAGGAGGAATGGTTTATTTTGGCTGCTGTTTGTAAAGGTTTCATTTTAATCGTCTGGCCCCAAGGCAGGGTGGCAGGGTGGAAGGGTACAGCAGAGGAAAAACAGTCCATGGCTTGGCAGGCAGGAAGCAATGAGCCTTCCTTCTTTCTTTTTATTCCATCCAGGCTGCAAGCCAATTGGTTAGTGCCACCCATGCCCAGGGGGTTCCCTCTTTAGTAAGTCCATGTTCACACCCATAACTGTGCTAAAACAATCGTGGACTAATCTATTATCACACATCTGTGATCCAGTCACTCCCAAAAGCCCACCTGAGCACATAAGGCGTTGGGGGGACATCTAGATACCACACATAAGATTTGTCTTAGCATTCTCCCCTGCTCTAATACCTCTTGTCCCAAAACGGGCATCCCCATTGACTTACAGAATAGAGATGGCTTTCCTCACTTACACTGAGGTGAGCTGGGCACAGCCAGGTGCATGCCTGGGAATGGGTGAGTTTCCCCAAGGAGAGAGTTTAGCATTGGAGCAGCTGTTAAGTCTAATGTTAGCTGAAGGCTTTAAATTTTTTCTTTTCGGTAGATGCCTTTTTCAGGTTAAGGAAGTTTCCTTATATTCCTAGTTTGCCAAAAGATTTTTTAAAAATCAGGAATGGATATACACTTTTGCTAAATGGTTTTTCTGCATCTAATTAGATTCCCCCCATGTCTCTTTGTCACACACATATTTGCTAATAGGATGGTTTACATGGGTTGAGTTTCAAATGTTAAACCAACCTTGCATTCCTGGGATAAACCTCATTTCATCATGCTATTTTTTTTTTTTTTTTTTAGTAGCAGGGATTGAACTTGGGTCCTTGCTGCTTGCAAGGCAGGCCACCAAACTGCTGAGCTAAATCCCTGGCCCTCATCATGTTATCTTTAAAAAATGTTATTGACTTCCATTCACTAGAATTTTGTGGAATTTTTGTTTCTGTTGTTTCTATGTTCATGAGAGATACTGGTCTGTAATTTTCTTATATTTATCTGGTTTGTTATCAGGATAATGCTTGCAGCATAGGATGAATTTTCTACATTCTGAACAAGTTTGTATAAAATTGGTGTCGTATCTTCTTTAAATGTTTTTGGTAGGATTTACCCATAAAGACTTAATGAGGAGTTGTCAAATTTAAATTAGGCTGGTAGTGCACACTTGTAATCCCAGCACTTGGGAAACTGAGGCAGGAAGATCACGGTGAGTTTGTAGCCAGCCTGGGCTCTGTAATGAATTCAAGGCCAGCTGAGCTACATGGTAAGACCATGTCTTTAAAAAACAAACAAACAAAAAATTACAAATTTATTTTTTCAAGAAATTGTAGGACTAGCCGGGCTTGGTGGCACACGCTTGTAATTCTAGCACTCAGGAGGCTCAGGCAGCAGGATTGCTGTGAGTTCGAGACCAGCCTGGGCTACATACATAGTGAGTTCCAGGTCAGTCTCCACTACAGTGAGACCCTATCTCAAAAAAACAAAAACAAAAACAAAAACAGAAATTGTAGGACGGTGCATGCCTATAATCCCAGCACCTGGGAGGTTGAGGTAGAAGGATTGCTATGAGTTCAATTCCAGCCTGAACTATAGCAAGACCTGGTCTCAAAAAAAAAAAAAAAAAAAAAAAAAAAAAAAAAGAAAGAAAAAAGAAAAGAAAAGAAATAGTAGGCTTATAGAGTTGTAGGAGTGAGGGCAATCTTCTCCCCAAGGTTTGATATTTAAGTCTATAAACTAAATGGACAGTAGACAGGTTAGTGGAAGGAAAGACACTCCATTTATTCTGTGCAAGTGCACAGTAGTCATTGAGATGTGAGAGGTTTAAAGCATTCTGCCCCAGGGAAAGGAGAGGGCTTTGGCTCTCCGCTCTCTCAGGGAGTTGACCAGAGTTCTGGGAGGCAGGGGAAGAAGCTCAAGGAGAAGCTGCGTCCTGTGGCTGTGTAAAGGAGGCCCCTTAGGTAACAGCTACAGAGGTGCACGGGGCTGCTGTGGCCCAGCTTCTGTTACCTAATCCTCTTTTCTGGGGGACTTGGGAGGGGAAGGGATGTAAGGACTGCTGTCCTACTGTCATCAGCTAAGGGATCTTCACGGAATGCCCCTTGCCCCTCCCACACCTGGGGAAAGGGGGATGGGGTGTGTGGTGGGAGAAGGTCGGAGGGTTTCTTTAAACTTGTCAGAATCCCAAACTGACATGCTTTGGGTGTTACTTTCTAAGTCCCAACAAAGTAATCCTTTTCTTCCGGCTCCATCCGCCCCTCTTCCTTTTCTTCCACCTCAGGAATGCTAGGCCAGTGCTGCCTTCCCAGCCCTTTTTATTTGTGTGTTTGTTTGTTTGTTTGTTTTGGTCAGTGCTGATGATGGAACCCAGGGCCTTTATACTGAGCTACATCCCCAATCCCACCCCCCTTATTTATTTATTTATTTACTTCATTTTTGTTTTGTTTTGTACTGGGCATTGAACTCAGGACCTTGCACTTTCAAGGCAGGTGGCAGAACCACTGAGCTAAATCCCCGGCCCCTGTCATATTTTTATTTTGAGACAGAATCCACTAAATTGCCCAGGCTGGGCTTGAATTTCTCACTCCTCCTGCCTCAGCTACCCAGAATGCTGGGATTACAAATGTACACCACCACTGTTGGCCTGTTTTTCATTTTAATATCTGTAGATTTTGTAGCAGTATTATCTCTCTCATTTCTTTATCGGAAGTTTGTATCTTTTTTTTCTGTTCAGTTTGTCTAAATTATTTTTATTGATTTTCTTTTTAAAAAGATTTCATTTTGAGACTAGTCTAGACTACATAGTGAGTTCAGCCTGAACTTCAGCAGTGAGAGAGACCCTGTCTCAAAAAAAAAAAAAAAGCAAAGTAAAAACAAAAACCCAAAAATTTAAAAATAAGTTTTGTCAATTTTTCATTCTCACTTTTTATTCTATTGCTTTGTTTATTAATTGCTGCTTTTATTTTATTTTTGAATTAATTTCTTTAATTATGTGGGGTTTTTGCTTTTTCTTTTATGGTGGAAATTTAAGTCATTAATTTTATTTTTTTATTTATTATTAATTTTGGGGGGTACCGGGGATCGCACTCAGACTTGTGTTTGCAAGGCAGGCACTGGAACCACTGAGCTAAATTCCCAGCCCATTAATTTTATTTTTTATTAAAATATTTTTGTTTTGTTGTTTTTTGAGATATAGTCTTATCACTTCTGGGCCTTTTGGCTAAGATCAAGTGTTGAAACAGAGTCTTGCTATGTAGCCCATGCTGGCCTCAAACTCACAGCAGTCCTCCTGCCTCAGCCTCTTGTGAACTGGGATCACAGGCATGTGCCATTATGCATAGTTCAAGTCATGGGTTTTAGATTTTTCTGCTAGAGAGCTGTGTCCCAGCCTTGTGCAATGCCCAGGGTTAGGAGTCCAAAGTGAAAGGTGGGTGTGGGTGACAGGTTGTGGCTCAGGGGGCAGAATCTGGTTTCCCTGAGCCACTCACTCTCAACTTAAACTATCTCAGCCTTATAGTCTTTGCTTGGGTCCTTGGCCGTGAGTTAGCTGATGCGTACAGGGCTGCTGGCCACCTAGAAGGGCCACCCCAGGCCCACGTGGTAGGCGGCTGTTCCGCACCCCGACTGATGATGGCTTCTGTCTTGCAGATCTGGATGCAGCATGTACACACCCGTCCCCCACAGGTAGGCAGTGCCCACACTTCCCCTTCCTGCTCACTTCCCAGGTGCCTGGGCTTGAGCAGCGGTGCACCGCTCTCCTCCCCCACAGCGGCTCCCCGTTCCCAGCCTCTGTGCAGGCTCCTGGCCTGCACATATGGCGAGTGGAGAAGCTGAAGCCAGTGCCTGTGGCCCCCGAGAACCAGGGCGTCTTCTTCTCTGGGGACTCCTACCTGGTGTTGCACAACGGCCCAGAAGAGCTCTCGCACCTGCACCTGTGGATAGGTAAGGGGTGGGGGTGGGAAGGGCGTGGGCCTGGGCAGGGTGGGGCTGGCCCGGGTGTCAGGGCTCTTGTCTGCCCCCCACCTGTCACAGGCCAGCAGTCGTCCCGCGATGAGCAGGGAGCCTGCGCCGTGCTGGCTGTGCACCTCAACACACTGCTTGGGGAGCGGCCTGTGCAGCACCGCGAGGTGCAGGGCAACGAGTCCGACCTCTTCATGAGCTACTTCCCGAGGGGCCTCAAATACCAGGTCAGAGACTCCCCGGGCACCCTCCCCGCAGAGGTCCAGGGTGCACTCGGAGCTGGGGCCCCCTTTCTGCGGTCTCCCAGTGGGATGGGGTGCAGCCTCACTCAGGCCGCCTTCTGGCTGCAGGAGGGTGGAGTGGAGTCTGCCTTTCACAAGACCTCTCCAGGGACAGCCCCGACTGCCATCAAGAAACTTTACCAGGTGAAGGGGAAGAAGAACATCCGGGCCACTGAGCGAGCGCTGAGCTGGGGCAGCTTCAACACTGGGGACTGCTTCATCCTGGACCTGGGCCAGGTGGGTTCGGGGAGCACTGTGAGAAAGAGGCTGAGCCAGAAGCCCAAGGAAGGGGCTGGGGCTTGGAGGCTGGAGCCCATCCCATGGCCACTGCCCCAGGCTAAGAAAACACACTGGGCAGCTAGACTCTGTGTCTGTGGAGATTGTTTCCTGGGCCCCCTCACATGCTCAAGACCTCCACATGAGATGGTGTCTTGCCATGTAAACTGCCCAGGCCTTCATGCTGAGCTACATCCCCAGACCTCTCTTCATTTTTTATTTTGAGGTAGGATCATGGTAAGTCACTGGGTTGTCCAGGCTGAACTTGAACTCACCACTGACCGTCCCCCAGCCTCTCAGCCTCCCAGAGTGCTGGGATTGTAGGTGTGCACCACCACGCCTGGCCAAAATTTTAGATTTTGAGACGTATTCTCACTAAATCACAAGCTCTCCCACAGTGCTGGGATTATAGACATATTTCCCATATGTGCCATCTCTAGATGACTCAGAACACTGATGACAAGATAAATGCTGTGTGAATAGTTGCCCTGTGTTGTTTAGGGAATAATGACAAGAAAAAGTCTGTACATGTTTAGTAGAGATACAGTTTATTTTTATTTTTATTTTTGAGACAAGGTCTCACAATATAGCCCAGGCTGGCCTTGAACTCATGGTGATCCTCCTGCCTCACCCTCCCGAATACTGGGATTACAGGGGTATACCACCATGCTCAGTCTTTTCCTGAATATTTTTGATCCTCAGTCACTTGACTCTGGTGGAACTCACAGATGTGGAGGGCTGACTCTCTAAGGATGGAAACCAGAGCCCTGATATTCAGCCTAAGGCTCTGGAGCTTACCTCCCCTTTCTTTTAGAAGCCTTCCATAGCTCTGGGTTAGTTGCTTGCTGGACATTTTCATTAGTTTTATTCACTTGCTCGCTCGTTCCATGAGTCTGTGATGCTGTCTGAGCCTGCACTGGTACCACAGAAGCTCATTCGTGGAGGCAGCCAGGGTGGGCTGGTCACTTGCTGTCACCCACAGAAGGGTGTGACGGCAGCTGCAGCCAGGGACCAGGGATGCTCAGGACAGGGGCCTTGAGCCTGAGCCAAAGCCACTTGTCCCAGGACCTTGGGGGAGGGGTGTCATACAGCTAAATGAACGGGAGGATGCAGATGCAGATGGAAACCGGAATGTGAGTGGGAACGGGTGCAGTGGGGGTAGTGCAGCTCTGACAGCAGGACCCCGTTCATGAGGACGCTGAATGTCTTTCGGGAGTCTCAGTGAAGATTTGGGGCTGGAAGGTCAATCCAGGAGCTGTTTGTGGAGGGGATTTGATGTGGTGGATTAGGTAGGGAAAACAGCTAACAGATCTCACCACCGATTGGCAAGTCAGGAGAGATGGGTGTGAGATACTGAGCTCTGCCACCATTGTATTCACCCACTCACCCACTCACCCACCTACTCTCTCATTCGGGCACCAATTCATTCATCCACCAGTCACCCATCCATCCACCCATTAATTCATCAATTCATTGATCTACCCATTCATTAATTCACCCATTCATTCATTTATCCACTGGTTATTCACCAGTTCACCCATTCACTTAGCCACAAATTCATTCACTAATTCACCCACCCATCCATTCATTCAGAATCTCTTTCTTTTGGGCCTAAGTATGTGCCAGCTCTGTTTTAGCAGTGATTATATAGCCATGAACAAAATAAAACTTAGGGCCAGGGATTTAGCTCAGTGGTTCTGCAACCTGCCTTGCAAGCACAAGGTCTTGAGTTTGATCCCTGGTACCAAAAACAAAACAAAATTTAGGGCTGGGGATTTAGCTTAGTGATGCTGCCAACTGCCTCACAAGCACAAGGTCCTGAGTTCAATCCCCAGTAAAAGAAAACAAAAAAGATGGGGGGGGTGTCTGGGGATTTAGCTCAGTGGTTCCGCTGCCTGCCTTGCAAATGCAAGGATCTGAGTTTGATCCCTGGTACCCCCCCAAAAAAAAGGTTGCTGAAACCTTTATGCCCTGCAGCTTAATTCCTAGAGAGAGGAACTAGACTATTTTTATGGTACTGGGAATCAAACCCAGGGCCTTTGCACTGAGCTATATCCCCATCCTTTAAAACAATTTTTTTGGGCCTGGGATTTAGCTCAGTGTTTTGGTGGCCTGCCTTATAAGCGCAAGGACCCGAGTTCACTCCCAGGTGCCAAAAAAAAAAAATTTTTTTAAAACGGTTTCTCTATTTGAACTTGAGATCTTCCTGCTTCACCCTCCCAAAGTGCTGGGATTACAAGCATGCATCATGCCCAGTTGAGATAGATATATGGTTGAGTCAAATACATGGTGATAAGAGATCTGGATTTTTAAAAAACAACAAGCTGGGCATGGTGGCACATGCCTATAACGCCAGTATCGGGAGGCTAAGGCAGAAGGATGACCATGAGTTCAAGGCCAGCCTAGGAGTTCAAGACCAGCCTGAACTGCATAAGGAGACCCTGTTTCAAACAACAACAAACAAAACAGGGCGATAGATGGCGAGTGGGCAGGAAGTGCTCTTAGAGCAGTTGTCATTGCTCTTCTCAGAGGTCTCTGCCTTTGTAATTGTCTCACCTTAGAGGAAGTGAGGGGTGGAGAGGGGCCTTTCCTTCCCCTGAGCTGGGGCAGGATCAAGGCAGCTGGCTCTAACCTGGGTGTCCTGCTGCCTGCAGACCATCTTCGCTTGGTGCGGGGGGAAGTCCAACATCCTGGAGCGCAACAAGGCGAGGGACCTGGCCCTGGCCATCCGGGACAGTGAGCGGCAGGGCAAGGCCCAGGTGGAGATCGTCACCGATGGGGAGGAGCCTGGCGAGATGATCCAGGTTAGAGATGCTGGAGAGGTGGGCTGGGAGCCCCTGCTTCTTAGAAAGGCCAAGAGCGACAGTGATGCCTGCGGGGGTGGGGTGGGGGGATGGCGGATGGGGGGACTGCTGGGACACAGCTGCATAGTGAGTGTGTCCTGGAAGGGGTGGCCCTGGCTCAGGTGGCTTGAATGTTTCGGGGCAGGAATCCTAGCTAACCTGACCTGCATTGGCCCCTGCAGGTTCTGGGCCCCAAGCCTACTCTGAAGGAGGGCAACCCCGAGGAGGACCTCACAGCTGACCAGACCAATGCCCAGGCCGCAGCTCTGTACAAGGTGGGCCCTCGAGACACTGCACCAGCGAGGGGTGGGAGCTTCACAGAGCAGCCAGGGGCCACGGGGCTGAGGAGGGGATGATGGGAAACAGGGAGGTTTGTGCAGGGCTGGAGGAGAGGACGGGGATGGCAGCGGCACTTCCGGAAGAGATAATGCCGTTTGCTTCCAGTTGGTTCTTGGTGAAAGTTTGAAGCCCCTGCTGAGATTTCCCCTTTTTGAGTTCTGTGTGTGTATTTGTAGTTTGGAAACCACTCATTTCCAGATGCTCTTGGCCTCTGTGTGCAGGGCTGAAGGTGCAGGCAGAGTGCAGCAGGCCCTGTTCCTTCCAGGCTTCGTGCTGGGCTGAGGCTCTAGGGGAGGAGGGAGAGGGTGCTGGGGAGGACTAGCGCCTGCTCCCTGGTCTCAGATCCAGCACTGTGCTGCCTCCCGCCCAGGTCTCTGATGCCACCGGACAGATGAACCTGACCAAGGTGGCCGACGCCAGCCCCTTTGCTCCCGAGCTGCTGATTCCTGATGACTGCTTCGTGCTGGACAATGGGCTCTGTGGCAAGATCTACATCTGGAAGGGTATGTGGGCTCCTTGCACCAGTGCGAGGTCCTGCAGCTGGCTGGCTAATGCTATTCTCTTCACTGTCTGTACCCCTGAAGCTCCAAAAGCACGGCCAGCCTCAAATGTCCAGAGCCTGCTCCAACACACAGCTAGGACCTGCTTCCTACCCTAGCATTCCTGAGGTGGAGCCTGGGCTTGTGCTGATCTGACCAGTTTCCCTGTGTACCATACTTTGGGAACTGCTGGCCCTAACCCAGTCCTAGGCCTTCAGGGCTCTGGAGCCTCTGATCCTGGGATTGTGCCTCAAGTATGACGGGGTCAGATTTTAGCTAAATTAAATACCACTTTAGGGCCAGGGATTTAGCTCAAAGGTTCTGGTGCCTGCCTTGCAAGCCCAAGGACCCGAGTTTGATCCCCAGTACCAAAAAAGAAAAAAAAAAAATGAACAACAACAACAAAAATACCACTTTATAAAGTGGGTGGTAGACTTGCAGAACTTGTTTTCTGAGATTGTATCAGCTGGAAAGAGAAATGCTGTTTTGCAAGAGCCTGCCTGGCTCACTTTAACCATGGGAAAATGTTGAAACTACACGTGGAGCCTGTGCGATCTTGGGAGCCTGGTTACTTTTCCCTGGTTATCCTTTCTCTCCCGTTCCTTCCTTCCTTCCTTCCTCCTTTCCTCCCTCCCTCCCTCCCTCCTTCCCTTCCCTCTTTCTGTTTCTTTCTTTCTTCTTTTGGTGACAGGGTCTTACTATGTAGTTCAAGCTGGGCTGGAATTCACTATGTAGCCCAGGCTGGCCTCACACTCTCCGTGATCCTCCTGCCTCAGCCTCCTGCATGATTTTAGGTGTGCGCCACTGTACGCAGCTCGATTAGCTTTACTCAACACGTCTTCCTTCCCTGGCCAGATTAAAAGTTTCTCAAAGGCAGGAACTGTGTTTACCTGAGAGGCGATGAAATAGCATTTGCTCAATAAATAGTTGTGCAGTGAACCAAAGCCAGGAAACCGCCAGCCCCAGCCTCGGGAAGGGTGAGCCGGTGCCAGTCATGGAGGGTCTCAGAGGCCCATGGGAGCATCTCTAACCCCAAGCAAGGAAGCAAAAAGTGGGTTAATTAATTCTCTGTGGGCTTTATTTTGTTTTGTTTTGGATACTAGGGATTGAACCCAGGGCCTTCAAACTGAGTTACAACCCCAGCCCTTTTTGAGACAGGGCCTAAGTGGCCCTGCCTGGGATTGGACATGTGATCCCGCTGCCTCAGTCTTCCAGACTGCTGGGATTTACAGAACTGTGCCACCATACCCACCTGAGCTTTGCTTTTATGAGCAGCCATTAGGCCGATTTAGGCTGCTGGCATTATGGAGTCTGTGCTTCACCTCTATAATAAACCATTTGTCCTAGTTAGCTACAAAAAAGGCCTGCAAACAGCAGAGCCAGGAGCACAATAGGGAGGGGCCGGGCCCTGGCCTTACAGTTTGAAGCAAGGGAGTAAACCTCATCCTGCTGAAATGCCCCTGGGGCTCTGGTCAGAGAAGAAGGTGGTTGCAGCTTTGTGGCCCTGGGAGTAAATCCCAGGGTCTGGTGCTTGCCAGGTAAGCCCTGTGCCACAGAAGCACACCCACCTCCCGGCTTTTAATCAGACCTAGGCAAAACAGAAGTTTTCATTTAGCTTCAAGCTGCCAATTTAGAAAAATTCTTAAGAAGCCGACTTCATACCTCCAAAGAGCTCTTCAGCATTATAATTTTTACAATTATCCACAGCTATTCTGTGGATGCATTTACATTTCAAGTGCTGGGTGTGGCAGTGCAAGCCTGTAATTCCAGCAGTCTGGGAGGCTGAAGCAGGAGGATCGCAAGTTGGAGCCCAACCTGGGCAGTTTAGTAACTTAGTGAGATCTTGTCTTAAAATAAAAGCAGCTGAAGATGTAGCTCAGAGTGAAGGCCCTGGGTTCAATCCTCAGTGCAAAAATAAAACAAAAACGGGCAGGGGGAGAAATTTCAAGAAAAATGGGATGAAGGCTAAAGAGGGTCCCTGCTCTTTTAAAACATACACTTCCTGTGACCCAGGGCGAAAAGCTAATGAAAAGGAGCGGCAGGCAGCCCTCCGGGTGGCCGAGGACTTCATCTCCCGTATGCAGTATGCCTCCAACACTCAGGTGAGGAAATGCCTAGATCCACAGCCCCACTCCTTGGCCCTTCCTGTGGCCTCCATGCCTCTCAGATGGGACAAGAGGGCAGAAGAACTTTGGACACAGTCAGGGACAATTAGGCCTCCCTCTCAGACCACTGTGACAAGGGAGAAGGCCCTTACCAATCCTTAAATTTTAAAAACTCATCTTCTTTTCTTTTTCGGGGTCTCAGTGTAGTTCAGGCTGGCCTTGAACTCATGGCAGTCCTCCTGTCTCAGCCTCCTGAGTGCTGGGATTACAGATGGGTGCCACCACAGCTACATCCAAGTCTTTTCTTTTTTTTTTTTTTTTAGACAGAGTCTCACTATATAGTTCAGGCTGGCCTTGAACTCCTAGCGATCTTCCTGCCTCATCCTCCTGAGTGCTGAGATTACAGGTGTCATCTGTTTTCTTAGCCTGCATGGCTGTCACTTTGTACCCTGGCCTGGATGGATGCACACTCTGGCCTGGTGTGACACCCTCCTCCCTGGCCTGGGCAGGGATGATGAACAGCCATGTGAACCAGACTTCTTGCCCTGTCCTGCAGGTAGAGATTCTTCCCCAGGGCCGAGAGAGTCCCATCTTCAAGCAGTTCTTCAAGGACTGGAAGTGAGGATGGACGCCGCCCTGTCCTGCTTTCCTGCCTGCCTCCGCCTGCTTTCTCCTCCTCTGGATGCCCCCCTGCTGATGTTCAATAAAGGAAACCAGTGCCTTCCCAGCTCTTCTCCCGTCCCTGTTCACCCAGTTCAGCCTCACGCTGGGCTGAGGCTGAAGCAGACCTGGCACTGGCTTTGCAAGCCTGAGGCAGAGGAATTGGGAGTTCCAGCGGCCGCCAGGCACTGCTGTGCACTTAATAAGGAGGTGGACCAGCGCCAGACCCGGGATCGCTTACAGCCTGGGGTTCAGTTCAGTCTCACATTCCCAGCAGGACAGGTGTGCTGTTCTCAGGACACATCTCCATCCAAGCCAGCATTTCCCCTGATAAACCCACGGGAGCTTCAAATAAGAGTGCTCAGGCTGGCGCGTAGCTCAGCGGGAGGAGCAGTTCTTAGTGTATACAGGGGTGGTAAAAATATGGCAAATGTTTAAGTTTCAAAAGACATTCCTACAAATCCTCTGAGCTCTCTCCCTCACTTCGAATACACATCCCATCCTTCTTGTCACTTTCTGAAGCAGTTCTGGGGTCCTCTTTTGTGAGTATCTTCAGCTGCACTGTAGTGGTTGCCTCCATGTCCTGAACTGATTTAAAACACTTACTTTTCGCAGTCATTTTGACCTTGAGGAGAAGCCAGAAGTCACACAGTGCCAGATGTGGTACATAAAGCAGGACAAGGACAAAGTGTATATTTTGACAAGGCTTCTTTTCCATTGGGTGGTGCTTGGCAACAGACTTCACTACGTTTTTACTATGTTTTTTTGTTTTGTTTTTGGTACTGGGGATTGAACTCCGGTCCTTGCGCTTGCAAGGCAGGCAGTAGAACCACTGAGCTAAATCCCCAGCTGTTCACTTCGTTTTTGATCCACATTGCAAAGGCACCAAGGGGATTTGAAGAACTGCTTCAGAGAGCTGGATGTGGTGACAAACAACTGTGACCCAAGCCCTGTGGAGGCTGAGGCAGGAGGATCACCTCAAGGTCAGTTTGGGCTGGGGTAAAACCCTACTTCACA